CCGTCTTTTGGTCCCCATTCAAGGAACCAACAGAGCATGAGAGAAGGGATGATTACAACCTTGGTTTCGTTGAGGGTTGGACGGCCTAGGATAATGTTATCGGCGGTCAGTTCCTCAACGACCAGGAATTTAACTACCAGGTGTCGTCCTTTTCCTTTTTCACCCAGTCGGATAGGTAAGTCAATCCTACCGACTTGGTAAACCATCCCACCCCCAAAACCAACCAAGGGGTGGGTAACCGAATGCATGCTGCTGAGGTTGTATTTCAGCTTTTGCAGGCACCGGAGACTAATGATGTTCGACGAGCTGCTGGTGTCAATAAGGATTCGCCTAACCAGCTGGTTGGCGACCTTACATTCAATGACGACCGGATCATCATGCAGACGATGGACAGTGCCCCTGTCCTTCTCAGTAATCAGAACATCTGGGAAGGAGGAGCTAGATGACGCCTGCTCACCATCATCATCATTGTCTATCTTTCGAAGATGGCTCTTGGTGCCTCGGATGGTAGGGCCACCGCATAGAACCCGTCTGCTATGGTGTAGACCGGCTCCTTATCGGTGTCCGAACTACTAGCAGGTTGGGGTGTCTTAGATGACTGCCCCGAATTCTTCGTATTAGTCCCTTTGGACTTAGAAATGTAGGACTTTAACATCTTCTTACGGTCCAATGCCTGTTGAAGGCTTAAACAGTCGTTGGTGTCATGGCCAACTTCCTCATGGTATTGGCAGAATTTATTTTTGTTCCTTGATTGAATGGAACTTTTCATTGGATTCGGCTTCTCTAGAGACAGCCGGTCCTTGATCTCCATGAGGATGGAGTTGCAGTCCTTATTAAACTCGTACTTGGGGACGTACGGTTTAAATTCTTTCTTTTACTTCTGGGACGGCTGGTTAGAATCACTCACCGCCTAGACTTCTTTTCTCTTCTTGCTCTCATCTTTTTTCTTCACCGGCTGAGCAGGCTGGCTGTCTTTTTACCTATCAGACTTCTTGGAGTCCGACTGGCTTCCAAGTGAGCAGAGGTCGGTTGCTTGAATATAGCTTTCCGCCTCCCTCTGGGCCACCTGCAAGGTAAAAGCCCCTTTTCTAACAAGGTCGAACTTAAAGGTCGACCCGTCTTTCAGACCCTTAAAGAAGTCTGTAAAAGCTACTTCGTCAGACAGTCCCTGAATCAGAATTCTAGTCAGATTGAACCGCCTGACGTAGGAGCATAATCCTTCTCCTCTCCCTGCTTAATGGTGCTCAAGTCAAGACTTGTTTTCTTCGCAGGGATGTTCATTGAGAAGTTGGAAGAAGACAAGAAGGCAAGCTTCTTGAAAATATCGATGGAACTAACTAGCAAGTTGCCAAACCATTGTTGGGCAATGCCCTTCAATGTAGCCGGAAAACATCGACACCAAGTGGCATCATCCAACCCCTCTAAATGCATGAGGTTGGTGTAAGCCATGAGGTGATCTTCCGGGTTGGAGGTACCACCATAAGTACCTACCAACACATTTTTAACCTTGGCCGGCTGTGCCGCCTCGGTTATTTCCTAGGTGAATGTAGAAGGTTGTTCACCTAGGCGGAGTAGACGAAGCTTCCAGTACAGTGGCTGGACATGGCTGTATGCCGCCTAACCTCCGAAGAAGGCTGGCTTCATGAAATGGGGAGAATAAGGGTCGTAGACCATAGGCGCTACGTATGATGCATTCCCAATCATCTAAGGACCTGAATGGACGGTATAACTGCCTGTATGGCTCTCACGCAAGGATTGCACATTCCCCGCAGATGTATTCTTAAAGTTGTCTAGAAAGCTTGAAGTAGAAGCTGACTTAGACTACTGTTGATTCCTCTTGCGGGTGATGATCTCTAAGGCATCAAGAGTTGATTTTTTTTTCCCACCGGATGTTCACTCCGACGGGTATTGTTGGTATTCCTCTTAGGCAGAAGAATCTTGGACCAGTCAATGGTCCCGGATGCTTTCTCCTTTGGATGCGGAGTTGGCTGCCTATCTCTGACTGACTTCCCCTTCTCTAGAGGAATCTTCCTTGCTGACTGACCCCTGCTTGGGCTAGCCCGGCTCTTGGTGATCAGATCCTTAATTTCACCCTTGAACTAGTCATGAATTTCATGAGTTCTTCTCGAGTGACTTGAGCAGATTCACCGGCCGTATGGGTTTCCCCTTTCGGCTGTCTAGGGGGTCGATTTGTACCTGCCTGGCTTGTACCCCGCTCTAGAGTGTCCCTGGGCCGGATGCGCTTGGATATCAAAGAGCCATCATTGGTTATATAGGTTTCGACCTGAGGATCATCATCCTCTTGGTCAGTAAAGACCTCCGGCTGGTCTACCGGACGCTCAGGAGGTGGTACAGACTCTTGAACCATCCTTGAGGTACTCTCCCCACAGACGGTGCCAAATGTTTTGGGTGTTTTTGTTCCTCGGGAGAATTACGTCACAAAGATTGGTCCGGCTCGAGTTGCACCTGCAAAATAATGGAGACTCCGGTTGTTGGAGCTCTGCCTCTGAAGATCAAGTTAGTAACTTGAAAAAGAATAAAGAGTACGAAAATTTAGGTGGGTATCTGCTTGGATTCCAAGCTCAGGTGTTTCTCTGATGAGAGAGAAAGTAGGTGTAATAAATGATTAAATGTGTCCCCAAAATGGGGAAATATCTCCCTATTTATAGGGTCGTTGGTAGGTGTGCCCCTATCTAGGTCACTTGACCTAGATTTTAGTGGGCTACGCTGAATTACGGCGCTTCTTGGGATTTGGGCCTTGAAGGCCGCCATTTCAGAAGCTATCTGAAGGGGACACGTGTCAGGTGGCTATTGGGCCACTTGGGTCAGCCTGAACTTGACACATGACCTTCTCTTATTTGTCCACATGTCTAGGGTATTTTTACCCTAAACTCAAACCTCTTGAAGATGAGGTCGAGATCCTTTATTTTGCGTCCCATTTGATTGATCGTTTCCTCAATATTCGTGATGATGTCTTTCTCTCAGAAAGCATTCAATTGGGAGGAATGATCACTATCTTGACCCTCTCTCTCAACAAGAAATATGGGAAGATGCTTGAGTCCCTTGAGCCTATTCGTGATAAACGAGAGAAAACTCCATCCCATCTACTTAGTATCTATGCTGTGATCAATCAAAGGTTTTTGGAGCGTACTTCTCAAGAAGACTTGTTTATTTGGAAAGTTTCAAGGACAATTGATTTGTGCCTCATCCCTCATCCGGAGGCTACCGCTCGATGCTTGGACACCGTTCTTCCTTGGCGGCCAAACAAGTGGTCGATCGACCAATCTCTCAAGAAGCCTCCTTTGCCAAATCTTCGCCTCAATCCATATGTCCCGATCACTCTCTTGCTCTTGCTTTGCCCCCAGTGTCTCGGGGAGGTACACCATTGATTCCTTCTTCTTCATCTTCTTTCTCTACTTGTGATTTGTCTATTTTGCATGCAAAGATCGATTCCATTGCAACTGTTTTGAATTGTTCACCTTTAGGGAATGACTTTGTTTTTATGATTACCATGCTAGACAAGTTTATGATATGCATGTAATGAGGGGGGAGATTGAGCCTTATGTTAACTACCCTAATCTTTCGGTTCAATAGGGACCCATATCTCAATGGGCCCCGTATGACCCAACCCTTTGACCTAGATTATGCTATCCCTATTGGGAGGGGCCCCATGTGCCCCCCATGCGATTAAGGGGACCTCTCCGACCTCTTACGACTATAAGAGGTCCGGAGGATATGAATTTGCTTATGACCCGGCTAACCCTAACCCATTCCTTAATCTTGAGACTTTGGCCGATGGGGCTCTCGGGTGAGCCGGTTTTAGATGATTGGTGGTCCCACTATTTTGCTAGGGACAAAGCCATGAGGGAGAGTCGGTTGAAGGGTAAGGGTCAATTGGATTTGGATGATGTCTTTAGCCATGTTTTTTCTGAGGTTGGTGAGGGGAGTACCCATTCTACCCCTTACCACAGTGCTGAGTTATGCCATTTTGGCTACCCTCCCTTCTATGCTCGTTTGCTTTTGTGTTGTTATTTTGCCAGCTTGTTGCTAGGTTTTGGCTTGGGGGGGGGGGTAGCTCATATTAGGCTTGGGGGAGTATTCTTATGTTTGTTGTGTTGCGTTGGTTTCCCCCTTGCTTTTTTGGTTCACTATGGCTCTATCTTCGATTTTGTGTCTCTTTTTGATGATGGTTTATGAAGGTTTCTGTTTGTTGAGATTGTTTTATGATGATGATGACATGATGTTGGTCTGTCGGTTAATACTTGATTCTCTGATTGCCTTATTGCTTTCTTGATGGATGAATTTTTCCTCTACTTTATGATTTCACTTCTCTAGTTCTATGATCATGATTTTCCTTAAGGATCAAATAATAATAACAAATCTAGAGTTAGCTTTTGATTTAGATTTTTAATTTTTTTTAATACAATATAGTGTTGCATAAGCAATTACTCGTTAGAGGACGATAATATTGTAGCATAAGAGTTTCAATGACATTATAATTCCAAACCTTTTCAATATAAATACTTTATAATTTAAATTAAACTCTTTTGTTTTACTATTGATAAAATATACCCAAAAAAAAGAAAAAAAAAAATTCTACGGTCATAACGGGTTACGGAATTACGGATTATAAACGGTTCGGTTATAACCGATTACGGGTTGTAAACGGTTCGATCATAACTTATTACGGGTTATAAACGGTTCAATCCTAACCAGTTACAGATTGTAAACGATTTGGGTTTATCAGGTTTTTGTCGGATTTAAACGGTTTCGGTTTACAATGGGTCGGGTTGCTATCGGGTTCAAAAGTACTCGGTTCGGGTTGTTCTCGGTTTCGTGTTGTATCAATTCGGCTTGATATTGGGTACGATTCATTAACAGTTCTTAAACATTCGGATCGGTTCAGTTTTAAGTGTTTAAAAATCGGGACGGGTCGGTTTAAGATTTTAAAATAACAGATTTTTAGCGGTTCGGTTCCTTTTCGGGACAGTTTAAAATGATTTAGATTCACCAATTCAGATCGGTTTTTGACAGCTGTAGATGGGGGGTATATTTGAAAAACTAACTCTTGTCTGCCCAATTTTGATATTCCTTCCCGTCGAACTACTTTGCTTTGGTTGCTTCCTTCCTGTTATTACTCATTCACTCTCTTTTTAAGGGTTTTTATTTTGCGCCTTCCTCCTCCACTTCGACTCTCCTCTCATCTGTGGAACCCTCTTTTTCTCTCTCCTCTTCGATTTCCTCCATTTTCGATCATCAATGGCTTCCTCCGACTCTCGCAATCGCATCACTGTTACTCCTCCCAACCAGATCGCCAAAGGTATTTCCTTTTTCTTCTTCTTCACTCCTTTTTTCTCTCCCCTCTTTTCCCCATTTCGAGTTTCTAGGGTTTTCACCATTCTTCGTCTATTTTAATACTTTAATGGAGTTTAATTGCTACTAATGGGGTTCCTTTTTTGTATTTTCGTTTGTTTTCTTATGTAAATTAGTAAAACCCTAATTTTCTTTTGAACATTTTTGGGCTTTTTCTTCAATTAGGTTTATTTATTTATTTATTTTTTTAATTGGATTTTTTTGTAGAAATTCGGTTGCAATAATATCTTATTTGCTTAAATGCGAAAACTTTCTGCCATTCTCTTTAAATTAGCACAAAGTTTTAAACATTTTAGCAAGACAAGGATTTGATTCTGCCGCCATTGGTTTTGTAGTATAAAACTTTCTTAAATAGTCAGGGTTTTTGGATGTTGACCTCGTAAGTTAGTTTTTGTTTCATTTTTCTGAGTGTTTTGCATTATAATATTTCTGGGGTTTAACTTCTAAGTTGATGTATTTTCCCCTAATTGCTTTTTTCTGTGAAAGTGGGATGTGATTAGCCGTTTTTTAAAAAAGAGTAATATATGAGGTTTTGGTTAAAATGAGGCTAGTGACCGCTTGATTATTATTTACTAAAATAACAATGTAGACGAGTATAAGAATGTAATTTTCATCATCCTGGAAATGGGGCCTAGGTATGTTTGCAACATTATCTTAAATCATAGGATTGTGACAGGGTTTTTGTAAACCTGTTACTTCCTTTTAAACCATTGGATATGTGCTAGCTGAAAAATATGGATTTACGAATGTTTTAAAAGGATTCAGTGGAGTGTAAAATGGAGATTATCGTTTTGTTTATGTGTACACAATGGTTAAAATGATAGGAAGGGTGTTGAGAGGTGTCGGAAATAGTAATTATTGTTTTGTTTTTATGTACACAATGGTTTAAATGATAGGAAAAGTGTTTATATTATTAGTGTCTTTGTTATTAGGGTGGTAGTAGGGAAAGTGAGAGAGTGTTAGGAGTGATGGCGGAGGAGATGGAAAAAGGGCGGTAATGTTATCGTAAAAGGTGCTAGGTTGGTGTTTGATGGTGAGGGTGAGTGATGATGAGTGAGAAAGAAATCAATAGTAAGTTTGGAAATTTTTGGTGTTACCCACATTAGATTATTTTATTTGAACTGTGTAGTTTGAGTGCTTCACTTTTTTATGTTTGTACGCTATTATGGAATATGGATGGTGTTAGTGGTAAGCTGGAGATTTTGTGATTTAAAAAATTAAAATAAAATAAGTCATTGCATTTGGGATCATACACAGGAATCTCTAGTTCAACATTTAAGTGCTGGATTTGAAAGAGTATATTTGGAGGTTCCTGTGCTCAACACTAGAATGTAAATGTTATCTGGAGATACACAGTAATCTCTAGCTCAACATTTAAGTACTGGATTTGAAAGAGTATTTTTGGAGGTTCCTGTGCACAACACTAGGATGTAAATGTTATCTGGAGAACTTAAAACCTCAATTTATTCAATTAAAGTGGTTGTCTGGTTGATTTTTTTTTTGTTAGATAGGTGTCCATAAACTTTACTACGTAAGTACGTATGGGATAAATGGAAAGAAAGTGGGATCCCTTGAGGCCCATAATTTATGCCATTATCACAATAATTCAGCAAATTTATTGTTAGAATAAGCAGAAAAACCTTAAATTATACCTAACTTACAAATGGTCCAACATTAGTAAAGACGCCAACATATAAATTATACCTAATGATCTGTCAGTATTCGTATCTTCATATGAATGAGTCTCAGTTCTCCTTTAGTAATAATTTTTTTTAAGTAAAAGCTACTATAGTTGACTTTAGCATACGCACCAAATGAGTACCCAGACCAAAGTTTTGATCTTTCTATCTCTCTTGCTCTCCTTTGGTATTATCTTTGCTTTTCTATGTGCTTATGGTGCATAGACATATCCAATAAATTAAGGTTAGGCTCCACTTTTGCCATGAAATGATAGGATGTGTAATTTCGTATATGCGTCAGCTGAGGTTGAGGAGGCTAGATACTCTGTTGTAGTGTACGTCTTTTTATGGTATAATGAGCTTTTGTTGAATGCAATACATTCTCACATTTTAAATTGCTAGACTAGAATATGTAGTTAACATCTTAGAAACTGTTCATCTTAAACAATTTTCTGCCTCTGGTGGAGAATGGTAGATCTTAAAGAATAAAACTGCTTCTTAGTAATAAGCTTGTCTACATTTTTACTTTTTACCTTATTTTAAATTTATTTATTTATTTTGCAGATTTCCCTGGGCTAGACAATCCTATCCCGCTTTCACCTCAATGGCTCCTCCCTAAGCCAGGGGAGACTAAGACTGGGATGTCACAAGGGGTTTGTATAATTATCTTTACTTTTGTGGGTAGATGTTATGCAATTGATTATCTTTTGTAATGAACTTAAGATTAACCTTGCTTTGTATCTTGCATGATGATTTTTATATTTGTACAGGGAAATCGCCCAAGTCCTTATCCTGGATACGGTGATGGCCCAGATGTCATCAAGCCTCCAGGACATGGTGAGGAGATGCATGATAGCCAGAAGAAAAAAGATGTTTTCAGACCAACTTATCTTGATCAAGAATCTGGGCGTCGTGATCGCTGGCGTGATGAAGAAAGGGACACTAACCCATTAGGTCGTAGAGACCGTTGGAGGGAGGGAGAAAAAGAGATTGGTGACGGTCGGAAGACTGACCGGTGGATTGATAACCCGTCCAGTAAGAACTTTGGAGAAGCACGTCGAGTTCCAGCTGACAGATGGGCTGATCCTAGTAGGGAGAATAACTATGATCAGCGCCGTGAGAGTAAGTGGAACACACGCTGGGGTCCCGATGATAAAGAGATGCCTCAAGATAAAGGGCAGTCACTTACAGCTGCTAGTCATGGGAAGGATGAGAGGGATGGTGATCATCATCGGCCATGGAGGCCTAGCTCTTTGCAAAATCGTGCAAAAGCAGAACCACCACATCACCAGCCTCAAATGACTAGCAAAGAAGGTCCTACATTTGGCCATGGGAGAGGTCGTGGGGATAATGCAACTTTTTCTGTTGGTCGTGGAAGGGCTACTTTTGGTGCTGGGAGCATCAGTAACTATTCTGTTCATTCTCATTCCTCAGGTTTTAATTCTGAAAGAGGTGATAATGGTCATGAAGAACCTTCTCCTTTCAGTTATAATAGGACAAAGTTGCTTGATATTTATCGGCTGACCGAGATAAAATCTTCAAATAAGATATTGGATGGAATGAAGCAAGTTTCCTCTCTTACTCAGGAAGAACCTCTGGAGCCTCTGGCACTATGTGCACCTACTTCAGAAGAATCCGTAAGTTAAATATATGTTATTATGGTGTGATTTTCAGTTTTATCATTCTCATGTTTGGTTATACTACTTAGGTTATTATGAAGGGAATTGACAGGGGGGAAATAGTTAGCAGTGGTGCACCCCAGAATTCTAAGGATGGATCTGCTGGACGAAGCTCAAATGATTTTGCTCAATCAAGGCGAATAAAACATGGTACCAATTGTGTGTGTTGTTTCATTTAACAATGTTGTTTTATATTCCTTTCATTAGTAGTTTATGATACACTTTTTTTTAATGCAGTTACTCAAATTTAATTCTTGTCTTTTTGACAGGGAGCAGAGATGATGTATCTCTACCTCCCGATGAAGCCCATGATAAAGGTACATATGGCTCAAATGTCACGATGGATGGCAGTGAAAGTCATCAGATGTATGCTGAGAATAGATATAGAGTTCCAGGTAATACCTTTTGTCAATATTTTGTTAGCTTGTTTATAGATGTTTCTAATTTCCTCATGGGGTATGATGACTAGGGCTTGCTGATTAAATTTACAGGGCTATGCACTAATTTTTTTTGTCCTCATTGTTTAAATTTAGTTGAAAATTTTCTTACCAATCTTTTAACTTAATTTGAATTTAGTTTGATTAGATCATCATTACTGTTGTGTGTGATTTAAGTTTGACTAATATTATTATAATGTATTGTCAATTAATGAACCATATGAATCATATCTAAATAGTTTGATGATTAAAAAGTAAAAACTGGAACAGTTTTACATTCTTCTTCATAATTTTTATATTTTCGCATAGCACACTTTTTACTGGTGACTTGGAGAGATTATGGAAGCTAAATGGACAATTGAACTGATATCACATCACCAATAACCAAACATTTTCTTCTTATCATTGTTCAAGTCTTTTAGCTATTTCTATTCTTCTCACTAATGTGTGTCAATGGGATGTTCCGATAAAGAAAATGAAGCATGGTCTTACCCATTATTTAAACTGTAATCTTGATTTGAGATTTCTTCACTTTGTACAAAAATAAGTCTGAGAATTTTTATATGTAATTTAGATCTTAGAATGCCCTGCTTCAGTTTTGTCAGTTAAGTGGTTATGGATGTGGGTTCAGTTTCATCATTAACTTGGATTATGTGAGGGGTGATAGGAGGAATGCTTGCTTTGATTTTTAGGTATTGCTTATGGGTGGATAGAATCTAGTGACAGCTACTATGGAGTTGCATTATTCTATTTGCATCCTTTTGGCAACTTGATTCTCTTTTCAGTTTGTTTTGAAGTCATAATAGGGGAATGAAAAAAAATAAAAGTAAAAAAATCTTTGGTGTATGATTTGGACTAATGGTGTGTGCTATTTGATAATGTGAATTGAGCTGCATTTATGACTTTATGTGTCTTTTATTTTGTTTGTCGCTAGCTCATCATCTAGATGTATATTTCTTTGCTTGAAAGCAGCTGCAAGAGATGATGATTCTTCTTTAAAGAAGGGTGATGAAGTCACGGATGACAAAGATTCTGGCATCAAGGGACGTGTTTATCCTCAGTCGGGAACTCCCTGGAGATCACCTTCGCTGGAAGAGCATGCTCACTCATGTGATTGGTTTAATAGTCCAACTGGTGTTCTCTCTAGAAGCTCTGACATTAGCTGGACACAAGCACCAAAAGATAGCTCTAATGTTTTACCTGATTCATCTTATGTTCACAATGAACTCAAATGGCAAGCTGGTGAAGATTCTGCTGTCAGAAAACATCCTGATATGACAGCTGATCTGGAGCAAGAAACAAGGAAACTCTTACAACCTTCCCCGGAGGACATGCTTCTTTATTATAAAGATCCACAAGGTCAAGTTCAGGGTCCCTTTTCAGGTAGTGATATAATTGGGTGGTTTGAGGCTGGGTATTTTGGCATAGACTTGCGAGTTCGGCCAGTAAATGCTCCAATTGACTCTGCATTCTTCTTACTTGGTGACGTGATGCCCCACTTACGAGCTAAGGCAAGGCCACCACCTGGGTTTAATACAGCAAAGCAGAATGAGGTAGCAGATGTATCTAGCATTCCTGGTTTAAGTGGATTTGGGAAGCCCCTTCCTGTTCCTACTGGGGCTGATTTGCTTGGAAATGAGCATAGGCTTACCCGTGGAACTTCAACAGAAGCAGAGAACAAATTTCTGGAGTCATTGATGGCTGGAGATGTCAGCAGTTCTCACATGGAGAGATTTGTCTCAAAAGGTTGCTACCATGGCTAGTTATTGATAGAATAATGTTATTATTTATCTGCAATTTGTTTTGGGGATTTGCTAATATTTCATAATGTTATTTAATTTAATTTATTATTTTTGCTATGATATGCAGGACTGCAAGGATTTGTAGGACAGACTTCGAGTGGTATGCCTCCCCCGGGAGCTGAAAGTGCAGATGCCCTCAACCTCTTGGCCCAAAGAATCAACCTAGAACGACAAAAATCATTGAATCAATCTTATCTGTACTGGCCGAATAGAGATGGAGCCCCTGTAGTTCCAAGCCCTGACATTGTTATGAACTCTTCTGTGCCACAGGCAAATCTCCATTCAACAATTGGTGATATTCCCCTACAATCTCTTCCTCAGAATGTTGAGATGATGTCCATTCTTCAAGGATTGTCTGATAGGCCTTCTAGTGGGGTGAACAATGGATTAAGTGGTTGGCCAAATTTCTCTGTACAAGGTGGCATTGATCCATTTAAAGATAAAATTGACTTGCATCACGGACAGAATTTTCCTCAAGTGCCATATGGAATGCAACAGCATAAGCTGCAGCCACAAAATCATCCATCCATGACAAATTTACTTGCCCAGTCTCTGGACAACCCTACCATTGTGCCTGACAAGCTACTCTCAGCTGGTCTTATGCAGGACCCTCAAGCATTAAATATGTTACAGCAGCAGTATCTGCTGCAATTACAATCTCAACAGGCCGTCCCAGGACAGCTGTCATTGCTGGATAAGATTCTACTGCTTAAACAGCAACAAAAACATGAGGAGCAGCAACAGTTATTGCGACAGCAACAACTGTTGCTTTCTCAGGTTCTGTCTGAGCAGCAGCTTGTTCAACGCTTTGGTGATCCAGCTTTTGGACAATTACAAACATCTGCATCACCTATTGGAAATACACCTGGTGACCAATCTTTGGCTCAGCTCTCACCATCAATGTTCCAAATTAACTCTCAAGTTCCTGTTTCTGGTGTGCCAGATGATAGGAATATCAGCATTGCCAATATGCCTCCAAAACTTTCTCAGGATTTGGGTCATCAAGTACCTGCAGAGGGCTCTTCTTTGCACCTACCTCATCAGATGTTAGGAATGCCTCAGAATAACTGGCCGTCTATGTCAACATATGCCGATAGCAATAAGAACCACTCTTTATCATCAGGATCAGAAATAATGGAAAATATTGCCCCCTCTGAAGCAATGGAGAAACCTTTGAGTGCTGCTGCAATTGAACATTCCAATTCTGATTTAAGTGCACCGTCTTTTTCGGACCAGGTGGTGGAGAGCAATTTAAAAACAGCCCCACTTCCTACTTTGGCTGCAGACACAGGGATGAGTTTGTCAACTGCTGATTTTGTACCTTCAGAGTTTTCTGAATCATCTGCTAGCAGATCCTCTGTGGACCCTCAGGGAAATGAGATAAAGCTTACATCTGCCAGTGCTCCTGAGGAAAACTCTGTCAAAGAGAGTCGTGAAGAGCTATCAGCTTTAAAAGAAGTAAAGAACGTTGAAGCACGTGAGGTTAAGAAAACTTCTGATAAGAAATCAAGAAAGCTCAAGTCTTCCAAGGCACAACCATCTCATGACCAGGTGAAGGGGGCTTCCAAAGTGTCTAATTTGCAGAAATCTAAGCAATCTGAAGCTGAAGGAGCACTTAGTGCAAACAAGTCGGATGTGTCTGTCACTGCCAAAGGTGCATTAGATGGAACGCTTATGGAGATGGCTAGGGAAATAGAGAACACACCAGAAATTGAGCTTTCTACTTCACCTAATCATACTGGCAGTGCTTTTGAATCTATGGAGGGCAAAGGTGAACAGAAACAGAGTGATTCTACTACACAGAGAAGTGCTCAGGTGAATTCTGCTCAGAGGGCTTGGAAACCAGCTGTTTCTGTGAAGCCGAAGTCACTTTTAGAAATTCAACAAGAAGAGCAGAAGAGAGCACAAATGGAGATCCCTGCTTCTACTGTCTCTGCCTCTGTTAGTCCTATGAGTTTCTCCTCTCCTTGGGGTGGAGTGGTTGCTCATGTGGAACCGAAAGTGGGTAAAGAAATTCACCCAGATAGTAATATTAGTGAGCATATAGGTAAAATGGAGTTACCAAAGAGCAAGAAGAGTGGGTTACATGATCTTTTGGCTGCAGAAGTTTTAGCAAAGTCTAGCAACAGAAGTACTGTGACTGACAATTCTATAAGTCTCCCTCCTTTACCAACAATGTCTAGTCAGCCAGATGTGGTTGATGATGATAATTTTATTGAGGCTAAAGATACCAAGAAGAGTCGCAAGAAAGCTGCAAAGGCTAAAGTTGCTGGTGGAAAGGTTTCAGCATCAGTGTCTTCTGCTGATGTGGCTGTTTCATCCAGTCCTGTTGAGAAAGTAAAAAGTACTAAGCATATACAAGCTGTAAAGGAAGTATTGCCTGTACCACCATCTGGTCCATCTCTGGGAGACTTTGTTCTATGGAAGGGTGAATCAACTAGCCCTTCTCCAGCTCCTGCATGGTCATCAGATTCTGGTAAATTTCCCAAGCCCACATCACTGAGGGATATTTTGAAAGAACAGGGGAAGAAAGGAACCCCAGCTCAGCAGTACGCACCAACATCAACTCCGCCAAAACTTAATACCACTCAGACGCGACCAGGCTCCTGGTCAGTTTCAGCTTTATCCCCATCAAAAGCTGTATCTCCTATTCAGGGCAATTCCCAACTCTCTACACAATCCAAGTATAAAGGAGAAGATGATCTGTTTTGGGGTCCACCGGATCAATCAAAGCAAGAAGCCAAACAGTAAGTCTTTCTCAACATACATTTGTCCTACATTCCTTTTCAGCTATTTTATTTTCCCTGGCAGTATTAATGGACAGTGGCTTTTCATGGGATTATATTTTGTTGCTATTACTCATAACTGAGTAGTTTTCTTATGTGAAGTATGCAACTGACTCTTGCATTAGCTAATAAGTCATATTGGGTAATACTATTGTGTTAATAAATTTTCATTACTGATGATTGAAGACATGCAATGGTGTATAAGTGCATGTGGGAGCACTAGATGAGATTGATGTGAATGCTTTTAGCTCAAGCAATTGGTTCTCTATGCTTCCTTTTTTTCGTTTTCTTTTAAATTTAAGTTGTACCATGTTCAGTTTTAGAAATCTTTTTACTCCTGTCCCCAATTGAAATTCGCATTTAATCTACCCCCCCCTTTTTTTTTCAGTAAACACAATGGAAGACCCAAGTTTTTTGTTCATTAAATTAAGTATTATTTCTATCTCATTTACCTTGCAAGTGACCAAAATTCAATAACTCCATAGTTGCCTGAAAATTTTAGTCATTCTTTTCTTCCTTATATATATTCTTATTCCAATCCCATTATGCCCAAAGTCATTCTTCTCTCTTCTATGGTGTATAAGTGCATGTGGGAGCACTATTTATACATTTCTCTTTAACCATTTTTGGTGTTTAATGCATAAGAAAAGATAATGTGGGATCTTATTAGATTTATCTTTTTTTTTGTTCTCCCAATATCATATTTCTATAATTTTCACTAAAAGCCAGTTAAAGGACAAAGTTTTACATTGGCAAGCTTGAAATTCTTAATGGTGCAAAAAGATGGAGGAAGTGTTATTTAATCGTCTCTCTCCTCACGACCAAAGCTATGACCAGTGGCTTGCCTTGCTCTGATAATAACTGAAAACCCCACTCTCAAGTTCACCTTTAGGTAGCCAAGCTCCACTTTGTTATTTTTTTATTCACCTTCTTAACATGTGTGCTAGAGGATTTGGGAATGGGAGTAAACTTAAACTAAAAGCATTGAAGGAAGTAGGTGGAAGATTGCTATTTAATTAAAAGCTTAAGGTTAAGTGATTTTTATAGAATTAGTTATTGAAGTTCGATAGTAAAAGAAAAATAGGGGAAGGTCATTGAAGATGTAGCCAAAGCTGGTCATTTGATGGTGGAAAACTCTTGCGAAACCATCTTATCTAGAGTGGCATCTACTATTTTTTTCTTTCATTGGTAGATTGCTATTAAAGGTCTAGACTCTAACCATGCATTGGATTTTTGGATTTGGGGCTGAGGTGAATTCAAATTGGGGTAGCAATTTATTTGAAATAGACAATTTTTTTTAATTGTATGTGACTGCCCAAATTAAAGTGAACCCAAGTTCAAATGTGTTCCCTCCATTCCTTATGAAAATACATTAGGGTAATGTACACATTTATAGGAATTTTAATGCAATGCATTGGTTTTGAAGCAATCAATAAATATGGTAATGATATTCAAACTAACAATTGATATTTTAATGTTAAACAATATTGCATACATTAAGCTATGTGACCAAGATAGTCAAAAGTAGGCAGTATAATGAATCACAATGAGCATGTTGTTTTTAATTTTTATTTTTTTAATGATATTGTATGTTTTTGGGTGAGAGTTAGAAGTGGGGCTAGTTCCTTTTTACACTTTTCATTTTGTTGTTAGTGTAGGGACAACATTAACAAGGATTTTAAAGTTATACCATGTTTTCTATTCAGTATCCGTGCTTACTTGAGAAATACTATGATATCTTAATTTAGTGATTTTTTTGCTGGATGCATGTTAAATTATGCGACCAACATTCGCCTCTTTGAAAGATTTTATGTACAAGTTGAAAGTTTCATAATTATAGGCATGTTGCAAATATTGCATTAAACACTGGAATATCTTGTGTAAGCTCCCTTGAGAATTTGGGAGTGGCCATTGCGACTCCTTAATTTGCTATCTAGGATATATATATTAAACTTTCTTATTTTTTCTAGATATAGAAGTCAGTGAATGAGTACAAAAGGGCTGTTTTTCTGTAATCCATTGATTATTATCATTGCACTTCAAATTTTGAACTGGTCAGCAGCATGTTGTGTGTAACTAAATGAGAAAAAAATAAATAAATCAAAGGCTTCTAAAAGAGTTTGAACTTCTCCTGTAGACCACATTGTATTCTGGTAGGCGTGGTAGCTTTATTTGTTCAATCTTCTATAATAATATAATGTTTGATCTTTTTATGTGTTAGAGCTTCAGCATGATGTTTTTTTGATTTATACTTTTCTGAGACAACAAAGCACCTGCTGATTGATATTTTTGAAACGATCAGCTGCTAAAAAGAGATTTTAACTTGTTTTCCTTAATGATGTTCTGTGTGAGTAGGTCAGTCTTTCCTCAACTTGGCAACCAAGGGAGTTTGGTAGCCAAAAGCACCCCTGTAAAAGGAACTCCTGCAGCTTCTATCAGCCGACAAAAGTCCACTGGTAGCAGGGCTGTGGAGCACAGTATTACATCTTCACCTGTCTCTTCTCAGGTTTCTGGGAAAGGGAAACGAGATGGAAGTACTAAGCACTTGGGTGAGTATTAACCTTTCTAAACTGAGATTGAATTAAACTTCTTTTCTATCTTTAGCATGCCCTTACCTTTTCTGTATACCGGTGTATAGAGGCAATGGACTTCAGACATTGGTGTGAGACTGAATCAGTTCGGCTTACTGGAAGCAAGGGTATGAAATGCTGCATTTACTGCATGTCTTTTATATTTTCTCTGTTTTTGGATCACCTATGTTAATATTAGCTTCATTCAATTATGGTTGATTTTTCTAGCAGTGGATTTACATTTTGATCATATCAGTGATACATCTATGCAATTTGGAATGCCATTTTTGCTTACGCAAAAATATTTCACTCTTTTCAGACACGAGTTTCCTAGAATTTTGCTTGAAGCAGTCCAGATCTGAGGCTGAGACGCTTCTTGTAGAAAATCTTGGATCTTTTGATCCAAATCATGAATTTATTGAGAAGTTTTTGAATTACATGGAGATGCTGTCAGCGGATGTGCTGGAGCTTGCCTTTCAAAGTCGGAATGATCTGAAGGCCTACAACAATGGTGCCAGAGACATGAATTTCGACTATTCACGTGGAAGAGACTTAGATAGAGACGGTGTAGTGAGTGCTGATGGGTCGACTAAAGGAGGGAAAAAGAAGGGAAAGAAAGGAAAGAAGGTGAGCCCCGCTGTATTGGGGTTCAATGTCGTGAGCAACCGCATCATGATGGGTGAAATCCAGACCTTGGAAGATTAAAAGAGGTGCCCGTTTTGTAAATACATTTGTCTGGACTTTTTGTAAATGGTTTTCCTTTTTAGGCCTTCTATTCCTCTCCATTATAGAGCAACGTAAGCAGTAACCAGTCTGTCCGCCGCTTAAGCCAATTTTGTGTACTTGTATCTTGTAAGGGCCCTTTGTTTTGTGGCTTCACATAGAACTAACAAGCTTTGGTAAACCTTTTTTGACCTTTTGGCCGCTTTGTTTTTCTTTTTCAAAATATTTTGAAATTTGTATTAATAGAGATAGCACAGCCAATAGTCTTGTAGCCATGACATAGTGTACGTAGATGGACTGAAATTCATGTTGACTTGTATGCTTTTCATGAAATATTAATAGGCTAATGTTAGTGACTAACTGTGCAGTTTTAAATTTGTTATATTTTTATACTTGCTATTTATTTTATATTTTGTTATGTGTGAGCTTTTGTTCGTTCCTAAATAACTGAGTAGCCAAATTTGAAACACATGTAAATGTACTAGTTTGATTTTAGATATCTGTAATTAAATATTGTTTAAAAAATATAAAAAAGGGTTTATATTTTGTAAAATTTGTTAGAAAAACCTTTTAAAAGGCTCATTTTGCAAGAAAAAACCCTTTAAAGCATTCTTTGTTGAAAAAAACAGCCACGATTACTTTTTTTTGTTTAATGAAACCTAGACCCTCTTTTTCGGCGTTGACCAAGACTTTCCGGCGTTGACTCCCTTATTTTCCTACTTGTAGACTACAACAACTATCTTTTTCCTCCATTTTTTTTAGCTCCCTTATTTCCCCTCTGTATATACCAAAGAAAGCCCTTCCCAAGTCACTTAATTCCAAATTAGGGCAACTTTTACCCCAAAATCAGATCAATTAGTAGGTAAATTAGGGTTCTTCATCATTTCTTTTACAGTTGTAGTCTTCAAATCTCAATTCCAAAAAAAAAAAAAATTCCAGAAATTCAACAATCTAGGGCAACAATTTCACAATTCCAATCAAAATTTTCAGCAATCAAAACAAGTTTGCATGTATCATTTAAGCCATCACAATTCAAAATCAACAAACAAAGAACAACAATTAGGTAAATTTTGTTTGATTTATGTCTATTTTTGTTGAAAAAACCTAACAATTTAAATCCAAATTGAGCAAACAAAGAACATATCTGAATTTGTACTTCACTACGTAATTGGAAACGTCAATTTGCGTCCAAGCATCTTCTTCCTTCGTCCTTTACCCATTGAAAACATAAAAAAAAAATGGGCAAGTTTGATTATCTTGAACATGCAGTAAAACCCCAATTTTTTTGGGCGATTTTCAAGCTGAGTTTAATAGTGATTACTTTATACTTACCTCAATTTATTGATCAAGTATTAAGGGTGAGATGAGACAGAGAGAGAAACCCAATTTGATGTGATATGTAGAGCATTCATGGAGGAGAGGAGATAGAGAATACAGAGGAAAAAGTTTGGAGGGAAAATGAGGGAAAGAAATAAAATGGGGAGTGCAATTAACATAACAAAGGGCAACAAATAGGAAAATAAGGGAGCCAATGCCTGAAAATCTTGGTCAATGCCGGAAAAGAGGGCCCAGGTTTCATTTAACAAATAAAGTTATCGTGGTGGTTTTTTATAACAAAGAATGCTTTGAAAGGTTTTTTTCTTCAAAATAAGCTTTTTAAAAGGTTTTTTCTGACAAATTTTCCTTATATTTTTAAAAATTTTATCAATACATATTTTATATTATGTATCATGATAAATTAATTTTTATAATTTACTTAAGAACGACCATCAAATTTGCACATGAATTGTGAAAAAAGTCCAAACATATCAGTTATGTAAAAACGGAGGAAGTATTCCGTTATTCTTTTTTCTTTGTTTGGCTATTATGTGCAACATCAACTAAAAACTTTTTTCTTTGTTTGGCTATTATACAACTTCAACCAAAAATGAAAGACTGACATTATGTGTAACATTATCAAATCTTTTCATTTTTTAGGAAAATTTTTATAGTGATATTAAGATACCCTCAATTAGAATTTCATAACCTTAATTAAATAGTTAAAACAAAATGATTTTTTTTTGAAGGGTTAAAACAAAATGAGTTAATAAAATAATATTAAATTATCTTTTCAATTTGATTTAATTCATTCTTGCTATTAACTCATTGAATACAACCTAACCTATGAAAAATTGTCAAGATTAATATGACATTTGCCTTATCTGCCCAAATAATCCCACCTTTTGATTGTATTTTAATATCCGACCTTTATACTTAATCAATACCACCTCAAACCATTGAACCCCCTTCCATCGCCACTAAGCCATTAAACCCCCCTTCTGTTGCCACTAAACCATTAAACCCCCTTCCATCGCCACTAAGCCACCACAACCATTACCAAAATCAAGGTGTGGGAAGGGGAAGGGGCTGAAATCGAGGCAAGGGGAAAAGGGAGGGAGGTCGGGATCAGGACGGGGAAGGATTTTTTCGAATCAAATTGATGGTTGAAGGGGAAAAGAGTTGGCGGTTCAACAGGAGGGGGTATGCTGGTCGGCACAGGGGTGTGGGAGAGGGTGGTTGTGAAGTTAGGCAGCGGAATGGTGGCTTGGGCAACTGGTGGGGTGGTTTTTAAAAAAATTAATTGTTTTTCTTTTCATTATTTTCTTTATAAAAATTTAACCTTTTTTTTTTTAATTTTAATTTTATTTTATTTTTTTAGACAAATCACAAATTGTCATGTGTCAGGTAACTTGTTATAACAAGTTACATGACTGGTTGGGACCGTTTTTGTAACACCCCAATAATTCTCTCTTTAAACCTGTGAGTAACCTGAACAATATTCAAGAGAATTACTAGCGTGCTACCGCCGCATGTTCAAACGTTAAGGCTACATCAGAAATTAGCAGCGGAAAAACTAAATCAGTTATAAATAAGTTTCAAAACCAATAACCAAAACCAAATTAAGTGTTACAACTTGGAACCATTAAGGCCCTTATTCAAAACTCAAACCAAAAGAAGTAGTATAAAGTAAAATTGAGTTTAAATAACTTCAAAAGTAAACAACAATAAAAATAACCTCCTTGCGGGGGCGTGTCACCCTCTTTAGAGGGCGAACAATCATATAAGCATAATTATCATCTACCAAACAATTTTGAGGTTCAAACATGGCAAAAAAGCGATAAAACATATACTTTGCGCCATTTTTTTCGGATTCAAAATTTGTCAAATGTGATTAATAAAAGGAAAATCTGTCAGGAACTACACGCTTAATAGGGGTATTTGGACACAACTACCGACTAAAAAATTTTATCGAAAAAAACTACCCCCTAATTTTTAAAAGTTAGAGTGGCACTACCCATTTGCATTTTCCGGCGAGAATGTCTGGCGCATGGGCCCACTTTTTCAATTTTTCTCTAAAAAGACACGATGCAATGACAAATAGGACCATAATTTGTAACCCTAAGATAACCAATTTGAATTAAAAGCAACAAATTCAACCAATTTCAAATTATCCCCAATTTCTAAGAACCCGAATTTTTCTAATCGTTACACCCTAACATCAAAATTCATAATTAATGGATTAAAAGAAAAGAATTACCTATGAATTGCATACCCTACTTGTTTTCACTTCTTCAATTAGGAATTTTCAGAAGAAAAATTGAAAAAGTGGGCCCCACACGTCCGACTTTCTCGCCGGAAAATGCAAATGGGTAGTGCTACTCTAACTTTTTAAATTTAGGGGTAGTTTTTTTTTTTAAAAAACTTTTAGTGGGTAGTTGTTTCCAAATAATCCTATTAAGCATGTAGTTCCTGACAATTTCTCCTTAATAAAAGTAAATATGGGTATAACATTATAATTAACTTCACTATCAACAAGTATAACCAAATGAGAAAACAAGAAACATAAAATTTAGACTAAAAATCAAAGAAAATGTTAAGAACGCACTCAAACAAAGACATGCTCATACAAGGTTCAATACTCAACTATTTTTCATGTAATTTGTTGCAAAACACTCTTGAAACATAGCATAACAACATGTAGTAAGCAATTTTACGAAAAAATAAACCAAATTAAAAATCCCCCAATTTCGAAATCAAGGGTTTTTTTTTCGGTTCGCATTTCTCCAATTTGACCAAAAAACAAATGAAAATAAGCAAATACTTACCTTGGATTATGGAAAATACGAATGGGGAACGAGATCTACTTCCTTTAGCTTCAAAAAACAAAGAAACTTAAGCTTTGTAGAGAGAGAAAGAGTCGAAATTGGCAAAAAGGAATGAGAGAGAATGCGAAATGAAAATCGTGCTCAACGATTTATTTTTGCTGCTTTAAATGTCGTGCGCAACTGCATTTGTTGCACATGACATCTCAGCGCAACACAGAATGATGCGCGCGCCTGGCTAGCGCGACCAACTGAGTTGCGCGCGGATACTGGTCACTTAAAAGACCGGTATTTTGATTTCGATCCGTTTTGATTTATTTCGAACGGTTTTCACTCGTTATTAGACGTAATGACGCATAAATTATCGAAATTCTTTAAAATTACTTTGCATTTTGTAGTTTATTTTCTTTTTGCTAGCTTTTTGCATCATCCTGCATGCACACCTTGCTTTGTGCCTACCCCAAGCATATGTTTTGGACGTTTTTCGTGAGCGTGTCTTAAAACGTTCCGCTTTGTGTAAAATCTCCCATAGACAGGCTAATCATTTTACTATACTGACTTTAGAAATGTCACATTCTTTTCGTTTTTTTGGCATCCACAACAAAAAGAATGGCGCATCGTACAACGTAAAATTATATGGCGTATCGTACAACATAAAATTATATGGCGTAGGTGCTGCGTAAAATTGCATCCTCTTCCCAGCAGGTGATCTACCTCCCATAACGAAAAGGTAGAACTTCTTTTTAAACTTTGGGCGTCAGCTTTAAAGTCGACTAGCGCGCCGAACCATCATGAATAGACACATTCTCGATTGGAAGCAAATACGGTAGTTAGTGAGCTTACTAGCTTATAAGATAGTTAGGGTGTCCGTCCACCCCCTTTATAAAGAGCGACGTGACGAAGTCGCACCTATTTAGACATGTGCCCCCAGTCCTGAGACACGTGTTTTCATCTTGTGGACAAAACTTGTTTTGGGTGTTTTTTTCCCTCGGGAGAGTTACGTCACAAAGACTGGTCCGGCTGAGTTGTACCTGTAAAACAACGGAGACTCCGGGTGGTTGGAGCTCCGCCTCCGAAGATCAAGTTAGTAACTTGAACGGGAATAAAGAGTACGGAAATTTAGGTGGGGATCTGCTTGGATTCCAAGCTTAGGTGTTTCTATGATGAGAGAGAATGTAGGTGTAATAAATGATTGAATGTGTCCCAAAAGTGGGGAAATATCTCCCTATTTATAGGGTCATTGGAGAATGTGCCCCTATCTAGGCCACTTGACCTAGATTTTAGTGCGCTGCGCCGTTTTACGACGCTTTTTGGGATTTAGGCCCTTGAAGGCCGCAATTTCAGAGATGTATCCAAGGGGGCCATGTGTCATGAGGATATTAAGCCACGTGGGGCATCCTAAACTCGACACGTGGCCTCCTCTCTTGGTCCACGTGTCTTGGGTATTTTTACCCTAAACATTTTCCCCTCACAGGGATCACGTGCATATCACATGGGGCCTGTGACACGTGTCCACCTATCAGAGGTGAACAATAACGAATAGTATTAAATTTCAAACAAAAATTCTCCCCCCGTTTTCACCTTCTATAAATAGAAGTTTACCCCCCCTTTTCTCTCACCTTACGTTCATTTGACTTTTTAGAGAGAGAAAGAGAGAGATTTTAGAGAGAGATTCTCTGCCTCCATCTGCGTCAGAGCATTTTCGAGTTTCTGTGTGCTAGCAGTTCAACACCCGGTTTACCGGCTATAGCGGTTTTTAGATTTTTCAGAGTTAAAGTAAGGTAACCGCCTGTACCATTTTAGCTTTTCTCTTTTTAAACTTGTATACAATTCTTTCCCCTCCTGTATACATAGTTTTAGAAAATATAAATGAGTTCTCAATCCACACACTCGGCACTGCCTAGGACACTCAGCCGGTCCCCTGGGACGGTTGAGTCTAGAATAGGGGGTGCCTTTTCTGGACTGTCAGAACCGATGTGCTCATTCCCGAATTCCTCCCTCTCTGTGTCTGTGCAGGACAAATGGCCAGAACGAAACAGACGACCAAAAGGTCTAGGAGCCGGCGCACTATATCAGTGCCAGCCGATGAGGTTGTCCCAGACGGAGAACAGAGGGATTTGGATGAGAGTAGGTCTGATGAAGAGGCTCCCTCTACTTCCGGGAGCTCAGGGGTAGGAGAGGTAGGCGGTGAGGGAGCCGCCTCCTCCAATGAAGCCAGCGATGCTGAGGCCGGCGAAGGGTCAAGGGCCGAATCTTCCGGCTCTGACCAAGATAATTTTGCGGATGACTATCAACAGCCGCCTAAGGTCGTCGACAACCCCAACCCTAAACGGACTAGGATGCTGCCGGGTAACATTGCCCTACTTAAGAGCGGCATTAGGGCTTTTAAAGAAAAGCACCCCTTTGGAAGGGGCTGGGACATCATCGTTCCGCCGGCTGACGCTGTAATGGCCTGCAACGATGATATTGATAATGCAGACCATTACTTTGTTCACTATGAGGCGGTCATTGAAGCCGGCCTCCGGTTCCCCCTCCACCCCTGGATTAGGAAAATCCTAAAGGGGTACGATGTAGGAGTTTGGCAGCTCACCCCAACTCGTGTGTGAACATTCTTAGTTACATCGCCGCCTGCGAGTTCCAAAATATAAATCCAAGCTTCTCCGCCTTCGCTCACATGCATTATTTGAGCAAGGTCCCAGGCGACCATGGGGCATGGTATACTCTGACTACCTTGCCCCAATATTTGATGACTTTGGACAAAGTGTCCAAATGGTCCGGGTGGAAGGACAAGTTTTACTTGATTTCTTCCCCAACTCTAAGGCATAACCAGACACTGCGCCGGTACAACACAGAGCCGGCTCTTCTAGGCAGGAAGTGCCCTCTCCCGGAGCTGTCTACTAAGGCCCGTGAGCAAATAATAGATCCGGGATTTTTTGAAACAACAACCGAGCCCATGGGGGATGGGACTCACATTATAGTTCCCAAGAATTGGATCCCCCATCCGGACTTCTTTAAAGACGAGTGCTTCTTGTCCGCCTGCGGGCTGAGTACCATGTTTCCCAAGGGTAGATTAACTTACATCCGGAGTGTGTGTTATTTTTATTTTTATTGTAAACTTGCCATAATTTCTTCTAACCTTGAATTCTGTTCATGCAGCCGACGCCTTGAAGATGGTCGATCCGGCAAAGACACCGACTAAGTCGGCGGCGCTGCTGCGCAAAGAGGCTGCACTTGCCAAGAAAGCAGCCGTCGATGCAAAAGAGTCTAAGAAAGGGGGGGTAAGACCACCTGACGTTATATGTATTCATACATTTTTTTTAAAACACTTTGCCGGTCGGGATACTTACCCTTGTTCATTTCTCAGGACTCTGCAAAGCGAATACCACGATCCTTCTCCAAGCTTCTCAAAAGGCAAGGAGAAGATCTGGAGAAAGCTCCGGCTGCGAAGGCCGCCAGAAAGGACCCCTCTCCCCAGACACATTCTGCTGCCAAATCCGATCGTCCAACGACCGGAGGCAAATCTCCTGCTGCGATGAAGATTTTGAGCGAAAGCTTAGAACGCTCACAGCAGAAAGCGTTGGATTCCTCTACGACATCGAAGGGTGGCGAGCCACCTAATGTTGCAGCCGGTGCGACAACAACTGGGGAGGAGCAGAAGCCTGCGCCCCATCCGGATACCCAAGGTAAGAGAGGAATTGAGATACCTTGGCCACTTGACTTTATGAGAGTCAAGACTGAGGTAGACCCCTCCGGGGGTTCAGTCAGCAGCCGGAAACGGATGAGTGCCAACTACGCTGCCTCTTACTCACAGAGTACTACTTTTGGTGTAGATCTGACATCCAACGAGCCGGATCTTGTGGGTTTCACAAAACGGATGGTGAGGACCCTCACCCGGTCGGAGAAGAACTCCATACCTGACCTGCAGGTGGTGGACTTTGACCGGATAATGGGCCAACTGGCTGAGGTAAAAAATCCCACAACCCCAATACTTTTCCTTTATTTGAACTAAGCATATCATAATCCGGCTGCTCTTTTCTCAGGTAATGCTGAGAGTGGATGGCCTCCGGGGCCCCTTCATGCGGAAACAAGAAGAGGTAAATGACGCCAAACGGAGGGCCCTTGAAAACCTCAACTCTGCTGAATATGCTAATTATATGTGTGATTTAAAGATTAAAGCAGTAGAGTTGAAACAGGAGGAGCTGATCCGGAGCTTGAAGGCTGCGAACGACGAATCTAACAGTCAGGCTGATGACCTTGAGCAAAAACTAAAGGATGCCAAATCTGAGCTCAAGCATTAGAAGATGCTGATCAAGAAAACACTCAACTCCGAGCAGACGTTTCCCGCCTGGGGGCTGAGCTTGTCAATCTACGAAACAAGCAGTCGGACGAGCTAGCCCAAGAGCAAAAGCGGCTGACGGAGGAGAATGAGTGATAATCTGGCCCGACTGAATATCACTTGGAGCCTCCTCTACCCAGATATAGACTTTGAGGTCTACAAACTAAGGTATGATTACGCCATTGAGGTGTATGATGCCCAAATACTGGGTGAGGCTCCTCCGCCTCGCTTCAAAGATTGGGCTGCCGAACAGGGATATAAAGTCTCTGATAACGAGGAGCCGGCGGCGGATGAGCAAAATGAAGGCCAAACCAGCCAAAATCATCCGGAGCAGCAGCATCCACCTCAGCCTTAGGCGGGCCTCCCCACTTTCTGCGGCAGTATGCCATTTTGTTTCTTAACCGGCTTGTATGCCGTGTATTGTTGTATCTTTACCAACTAAGGAGTTGGGTTAACATTTTATTTCTTTCCTTCTTCACCGGATGTGTCCGGTTAACACTTATTCTGGCCTTTGTGCCATTATCAATATTAATGAAGTATTCCGACTTAGTCGGTGTTTATATATGTTTGTGTTTGAATAAATTTTTCAATTTGAATTTTGCGTATGTTTGAAATTCTTTAATATTTTGCCTAACTTAAAAAAGCATGCGGCAATTTGCAATCCGGGTGCTCTTGCCCCTGGACGGCTGTGTGGTTGGTTTTGTTTCAAATTGATTGATTGGCTTGAAAACACATGATACTAGGAGAAGTATGGAGTGTTTTTAGGCCAATCAATCACAATGGTGATTGCCCCAAACCAAGTGCACAGCCGGCCATTAGAGCGGGTGCTTTGAACTTTTAACCCAGGCGGCTATATTCCGTCTGGGGTAATCACATAGCCATTACACAAAATCTTTTGCCCCAATAGGGAGAGAGAGTGCAACTTGGAATAAATAACCTAAGTGAGAACTTCAGCCGGTGACCGACTGATGCCTCAGGGCATCCGGTATTCGGTAACTTAATCGTTCTTCATAGATTGATCTGGTCAGACGGCTATGAGTTAACCAATTCGGTCTTCAATTTTCGCCGTCTGCATAGGTACGTAGAACCAACGAACAGTCTGTTCTCTGCGACGATTGCACCTGGAGGGGTGTTGCCGGACGCCTTTGTCCATGTTGGGACAGACGGTTTTATGAAATAAGAAACCATCCGTCCATTTTGGCCGTTGGTCTTGTTTGAGACCGGTTGTATAGCCACTAAGCGTTTTTGTGCTCAGTTTTTAATCGGACCATTGGCCGAGCGTTATTACAACATTGATTTTACACTAAATGTCGAACTTAGTTGGTTGAACGAATAGTCCGTCTGAGTATTACCCAGGCGGACAAGAAATTATTAAATTACACTAAGTATCAAACTTAGTTAGTTAATCAAAGAGTCCGTCTGAGTATTACCCAGGCGGGCAAGCAATTATAACATTAAATTAAACTAAGTATCAAACTTAGTTAGTTAAACAAAGAGTCCGTCTAAGTATCACCCAGGCGGACAAGCAATTATAACATTAAATTACCCTAAGTATCAAACTTAGTTAGTTAAACAAAGAGTCCGTCTGAGTATTACCCAGGCGGGCAAGCAATAAAAAATAGCAAAATAATTCTGCAAACAAAGTCTGAATTCTCATTAATTGACTTACTGTTTACAAAAATTTACATTTCTCAGAAGTAGTACTTTTTTAAGTTATCTACATTCCAAGTTCTAGGCAGAAGCCGGCCGTCTAGGGTTTCCAGACGATAGGTGCCATCTCTGACTTCTTAATAAATCCGGTAGGGGCCTTCCCAATTAGGGGTTAGCTTTCCAACCTCATTAGCCCTAACGGTTTCCTCCATTTTTCGTAACACAAAGTCGTCAACTTTTAAAGGACGCTTGTGCACTTTCTTGTTGTAGGCTCTGGTCATTCTCAGACGGTATATCTCATGGCGCAGGGCAGCGTTGCTCCTGCGTTCCGGGAGGGAGTCCAATGCCAGCTGCATGACCTCCCAATTTGCCTCTTCATCATAGAGCATGACTCTGAGAGTCGGCTCGTAGTGTTCAATGGGCAAGACGACTTCAGCACCGTATACCATAAGAAATGGGGTTTCTCCGGTTGCCCCTTTGGCAGTAGTCCGGATGGACCATAGGACATGAATTAGTTCTTCTGGCCATAAGCCACTGGCTCTTTCAATTTTCTTTTTTATGCCGTCTGAGATGAGTTTGTTGAAGGCTTCAACTTGGTCGTTTGCTTGGGGTCGGCCGACTGATGCAAATCAATGTGAGATACCCTGATCTCCCAACCAAGTTTTGAGATGAGGGGTTTCAAACTGAGGACCATTATCAAACACCATAGACATAGGTATCCCAAACCGGGTGATGATGTTCTTCCAGAAGAAAGAGATGACATCCTGTCTCTTGATGTTCTTAACCGGCTCAACTTCTACCCATTTGGTGAAATAATCCATAGCCACCAAAATGTAGCGCTTTCCGCTTGGAGCAGGTGTATAAGGACCTAAGATATCCATGCCCCATTAAGCAAACGGGACTGGGCTATGGATTACCGTCAGGTCAGTAGCCGGGCGGTGAATAAGTTTGCCAAACCTCTGGCATTTGTCACATCTCTTCACCAACTCTTTAGCGTTTGCTTCAAGAGTAGGCCAAAAGTAATGCCGACTGGCTCTGACGGCTAGGGACCTGCCGCCTATATGAGAGGCATAGTACCCAGCATGCAATTCTTCAAAAACTTCTTTCCCCTTTTCAGAGGTAACACACTTCAATAGAGGTTTAAGGAAACCCACCTTGAAGAGCTCTCCGTTTCTCAACTCGAAGTTTGCTGCTCGCTTCTTCATGACGGCTGCTTCTTATGGTGAATCAGGGAGTATGCCGTCTGCTAAATATGCCTGGATGCCATCCATCCAGGTAGAGCTTCGGTCCAGAATTCCTATGGGCTCTTCATATATGCTTCTCTTTTCAAGAACTTCCCAAAAGACCGACCGAGGCGTATCACAGCAGGCGGATGAAGCCAATTTGGACAACGCATCCGCCTGATTGTTATCCGACCTGGGCACTTAATTCAGACAGAATTCCTCAAGTGCCCAACCTCTTCTTTGACTGCCTGAAGTTATTTGATCATAGACGGATGAGTTGCCTCATATTTTCCCTCATACTGGATAACGACCAACTGTGAATCAGAGTAGGCGTCAATTTTAGTTGCCCCTGCTGCCTTACACATGCGGATTCCGGCTAGCAGGGCTTCATACTCCGCCTCGTTATTTGAGGCCCGAAACTTAAACCGCAATGCATATTCAAATCTGTCCCCCTCAGGGGACTCATATATAATTCCTGCACCGCATCCGTTCTTCGCTAAGCTCCCGTTTACATACATTTTCCAAACCTGGTCAATGTTATCCGGTTGCACCGGTCGTGTTATTTCAACAATGAAGTCGGCAAACGCCTGACCTTTCACTGCCTTTCTAGGTTCGAAAGTGATTTCAAGACTTTGCATTTCAATAGCCCATTTCAACATTCTGCAGGATGATTCCAAGGTAGACATTGGCCGCTTGAGGGGCTGGTCGGTGTAAATTACCACCGGATGGGCCAGAAAATACGGCTTCAATTTCTTGAAGGCCATATACAAAGCAAGACCAAATTTTTCAACCATGGGATACCGGAGCTCAGCATTTTTTAGAACATGGCTAATGAAATAGACCGGGAGCTGAACGCCGTCTCTCTCAGAAAGGAGAACAACATTGAGGGCATGATCTGAAACGGCTAGGTACATGTATAACACCTCTTTAGGCAGTGGACTAACAAGCCTTGTCAAAGAGTGCAAGTGTTCTTTCAGCCGTTGAAAGGCCGCCTCAGCATCATCCCCCCATTCAAATCTGGTCTTCTTCCTAATTGCTTGGAAGAAGTAAAGGCATTTGTCACCTGACCGACTAAGGAACCTCCCCAATGCCGCCAGGATACCGGTTAGTCTTTGCGCTTCCTTGACAGTGCGGGGTTAGCCTCTATCCCCCTTTGTTCAATCAGGAATCCGAGAAACTTCCCAGACTCAACACCAAAGACGCATTTCTTAGGATTTCACATAACCTTATGCCGCCTGAGTGTGGTGAAGGTTTCTCGGAGATCAGCAAGGTGATCCGCCTGCTGCTTGGATTTGACTATCATGTCATCTATGTACGCCTCCACATTCCTCCCAATTTGATTAATGAAGACCGTATTAATCATCCGTTGGAATGCAGCCGACGCATTTTTCAAGCCAAACGACATCACAGTGTAACAGAATAACCCTGATCATTGAAGAAGGTCGTCTTTTCTTGATCTTTCTTCCATAGGGGT